ATTTCACTCAACATTATATTTTCAGAGAACATTATTACCATAGCATATGTCGATCCTTCATTGTAAATAATCACATAAATTCATATAAATTTCATCTGTACTATGTCGAGACGTTCATGGTGCTAATAACCTATGCTAGACAGATTTTACTATTTTGGAGTGTTTAGATAAGGCTTCCTGAAGAATGTAAAAACTGAGTTGAGACACCAAAGGGAATAGGAAAAGTGAGCTAAAGAAAGGAAGGGTGGTCCTAAAAAATGAAACAGCTTAAAAAAAAATGAAACAGCTTATAGAAAGAAGCAGTTTCCTAAAAAGGCCTGCAAGGAAAAAGAAACAAAATAGTAAATGGCCATTAAATGCTGAAGTACGGATGAGACCACCTAGAGAGAAATCAGAGTAAGGAAAAGTCATGAGGAACTCCACAACAGTTAATTGCCACATATAAAAGGGGGCCCTACAAGATATGACAAAATAATAATTTATAAATTATCAAGGGCTCATGAGGGAGGGGGCAGCAGGGAGGGAGGGGAAGAAATGAGGACCTGATGCTGGGGGCTTAAGTGGAGAGCAAATGTTTCGAGAATGGCGAGGGCAATGAATGTACAAATGTGCTTTACACAATTGATGTTATGTACGGATTGTGATAAGAGTCGTATGAGCCCCTAATAAAACGATTTAAAAAAAAAAGAGGGCCCTAAGAAAGCATAAGAATTGGCTAAGTAGACAGGAAGAAAACTAGGGTTATATGGTGTCATGGGAGATAAGGATAAGAATATTCCAAGGAAGAAAGAATGATCAAGAGTCAAATGTGGCTGGATCACCAAGTATTCTCACCTTCATAAGGAGACCCAAAAGGTGACTTTGGGAAGATGTTTCACGTATCTAAGGTATCAATAAAACTTCACATATGAGTAATCAAGCGGCCATCAAGCTCAGAAGCAACAAAGCCCACATGGAAGAAGCACACCAGCCTATGCAACCACGAGGTGTCGAAGGGATCAGGTGTAAGGCATCATCAGAACAAAAAATCTTACCATAGTGAATGATGGGGGGAGTGCGGAGTGGAGATCCAAAGCCCATTAGTAGGCCACTGGAGATCCCCTTGCAGAGGGGTCTCGGGGAGGAGATGAGCCAGTCAGGGTGCGATGTAACAATGATGAGAAATACAACTTTCCTCTAGTTCCTAAAGGTTTCCTCTCCGCTCCCACTACCATGACTCGAATTCTATCTTGCAAGACTGGCTAGACCAGAGGAGGTACACTGGTACAGATAGGAACTGAAAATACAGGGAATCCAGGATGGATGAGCCCTATAGGACCAGTGGTGTGAGTGGCAAAACAGGGAGGGTAAAGGGAGAATGGGTAGGAAAGAGGGAACCGATTACATGGAACTGTGTGTGACCTCCTCCCTGGGGGACAGACAACTGAAAAGTGGATGAAGGGAGACGTTGGACAGGGCAAGATATGACAAAATACCCATTTATAAACTATCAAGGGCTGATGAGGGAGGGGGGAGCGGGGAGGGAGGGGAAAAATGAGGACCTAATGTTGGGGGTTTAAATGGAGAGAAAATGTTTTGAGAAACGATGTACAAATGCGCTTTACACAATTGATGTGTGTATGGATTGGGATAACAGTTGTATGAGCCCCTAATAAAATGTTAAAAAAGAGAAAAAAAAAAAAAGAAGAAAAAAAAAACTTCACATACGTAAGAAGATGATTTATATGGATGTATTTGCACATATATATGTTTATATATAATCAAGCAAATATTACATTTCTAAAGCTAAATAACAGCTTCATTTAATTACTTCAATGTCTGTATCTATACGATCTGTATTTACCCATTCAACATTTTAGAAGTATAATTAAACACTATATATTAAATAAAAGCAAACAAATAAAAGCTAAGTACATGTGTGCAATATTGCTATTCATCACACACATACACACAAATTCTAGGAAAATATACTCCAATTTGTTCTGCTTTAGGATACAGACAAAGCAAGAAGTGAGTTTTCAGAGTATACATATTTATAAAAACATTAACTTAAAAAAATGAGACTTTGTATTATTTTTCCAATTTAAAGTTATTTTTTCAAGATTTAAAAAATGTATAGACATCAAGCCAATAAATAGTAATTGCAGAGATTAAATAATGACAGGATGCCATAGGACACTTTACATTTTTCTTGTGGGTGGTGGGCAGCAGAGGAGGAAAAAAATTAGTTTCCCTTACCCACCTTAAATGATCTTTTGCTCACATCCTCATTGTTAACACCTTAAATATACAGGCTAACAAACTTAATTTCATACATACAGTCAACTCCTTTCCCCTTGTTCCCCATAATTAACAATTCATCTACGAATTTACCTTTCAACAATGTAACCAGCTATTTGTTGTTGTTGTTGTTGTTGTTGTTAAAATGATCACCCCCACAAAAGGGGGTGGACGGATTTATTGAATTCAAACTGGGAAAGGAGCAACTGAAGCCAGACTCTGGGTCCAGCCCCAGGCTGCTCTTCCCAGGATGGGGCCCTGCCAGAGTGTGATGAGAGAGAGAGGCAGGGGCCTGCAGCTGCCCACTTGGGAAGTACCCATTATCACTCCTTTAGAAGGCCTCTTGGGGCTCTGCAAACTGGAAAGAAAACCAAAGGCCAAAGTAACATGGACTGAGCCAGAGACGGGGACTGGGGAGGTGGGAAAGCAGGCAGAAGCAGGCTCAGGGGCCTGCGGTGAGTTAGAAGTGTGCTTCTTGAAGCGGCTCCAGGGTCAGAGTGGGGCTACCAGCCTTAATGGGCTCTAGGCTGGCCCTCCCTCTGGGAGCCCTTCCCAGAATGGCTTTGGGGTCCCCCACGCCCACCAAGACCTAGTGTGGATGGCAGTGGGGACAGGCACTCTCTGGCCAGGAGCTTCTAGGGCCTATCCCTGGCTGCTGCTATGGCTGAATTCACAGATGGCATGGTGTGGTAGCACCGGACAGGTCCCTGCCCAGGTCACCTGGTCCCCCGGGCCCAAGGGCAGAGGAGAGGGAAGAGGATTCTGAGAAAAAGGCAAAAGCGGCCAGAGGCTAACCCCAGCTCCAGCTCTACCCAGGTGACCAGGCCTGTCACAGGGCAGGGGGAAGCAACCCTCGTGGACAGGTGACTTCCCCCCCACCCCACACCCAACTCCAGCCATAGCACTGCCCTCTGGATTGGCACTGCCACATCTGGAATGGGGCATGGCTAGACCCTGTGGCTCAACCAACTACTTTTTTAATCCCATGAATATTACCTTATCTCAGTGATTTTTAAAATTTAAATAGCAATACCTTTTCACTTAAAATAATCTTGCATAAAATTATATTTAAGTTAGATAAAAGTTATTTTTAAAAATACAACTTTATGGTAATTTTAAATCATTGTAGCATAAATAAATTACAATGAGGCTGCTTTAGCAAGTACAAGACTAAAAATCGGACGTTATAGGTGACAGCTAAAGCTTACATCAACCATGAAACTTATTTCAATATCTTTTATACAGTAGTAAGAAAATTCTGATTTCCCAAAAGGAAGTTAACAAAGGTAACAGATTTTAACTGTTACTTTATTTCTGTGTATACTCTTCTGTTAAACAGCAGTGATTAAAAAAAAAACAACCTGGAGTCTATGTATAGATAAAAATACGTAAGTTCTCTTGGCAAATTCTGTTGGTATCTTGTGTTAAAATGTGGTACAATGCATTTTCACATTTGTGTTGGTGAATTATTTTACTACAGCTTTTTCGAAAATAAAAATATAATTTAGAAAAAATTAAGTCACACTTTAAAAGAATCGTTGAAGCACTTCCATGCAGCACAATTTGATACTGCCATTACTTAGTGTCTCTTATCCAAGGTCTTATTACTGCTTCCATTATATTATTACTTCCATGCTCCGTACATACACCTGATAAACTTCACTGCACTCTAACTATGGCCTGCACACACATTTCAATGATCTTTAACAACAGACGTTACTGATAGCTGACGTCCTCTAGGGTAGGGCTCAAACCACTTTTTGAGTCTTCTCTCCCACTATTCCCCATCAATTCTAAACTCTAGCAAAATGACTGTTTTCTATTTCCAAAATAAACACTTTTACATAACAAAGCCCTTTCTTATAAGGCTTACAGATCTGCTGGAAATTCTCTTGCCTTCCTACCTCAGAAATTTCTGCTCTTTTTTTGGCCTCAGTTCAATCCCCATAACCCCAGTCAACGTCTGTCCCACCTCTAAACATGAGAAAGAACTCTAAACTTTAAAATACTTGATCACATCCAAACTAATTTAATATGATAAAGGGAATCATAGTATATTTTAGGCAGTCCCTGAAATCTAATATAGAGACAAATTAATATATGAGATTACTATCTTTTAAAGTTCATTAAGTGATATAAACACTCTAATACTAGATTACAGTAATAGAAGCACAACACAGGTTTACCAATAAACATAATATTAAGCATTTAAAATGGGTGAATTTTATATACCTCAGTAAAAGCCCAAGTGCACTACCATTGGGGAAATTCTGACAGTAACCCTTAAGGCAGAGTAGAACTTGTCCTAAAAGGTTCCAAGGCTGTAAATCCTTACAGAAGCAGGCTGCCACATCTTTTTCCAATGGGGTAGATCTGGTAGATTTGAACCACCAACATTCTGTTTGGCAACCAAGTACTTAACTACTGTGCCATCAGGTATCTTAGCAAAATTATTAAAAAGAACCGAGTTTCAAAAAAAAATGAAAAATTAAATCTCATCCGCTGATAATGATTTATCTTGATTTGTTAAGTACTCCATTAAGTTAGCCAACCCATTAAGTTAAGCAATTTACATTTATAAATTCTGAGAACATCTCAGTACTATGCGGATGTAATAAGAGAAAAACTCTTTGTGCGTTGGTCCGTTTTTCACATTAATAAATATTATAATAAATCATAATTTTATACTCTTCCCTTTTCCATTAAGAGGAAATACCCACTCGAATAGTTACTGTGTGACTGGCAGAGGGTCTCAAGAGAGGAAGCCGGATTCCACACCTAGGCATTCTTCTCATTTCCTCAATAGGAGTTCCAAACCATTTCTTATCTGTGGAAAGGTGAGGCGGAATGTATTTTGGGATCTTCCTTTCTGTTCTTTGATGTTTGGTTTCACATGGTTCTTTTCTAAAGCCAAGATAAATGCATTCAGTCACAAATTTTTTTTATTAGATTCTTATGGGTACAAAAATAGAAAACTTAACCCAAACATTACTGTTTGTTCTCTCTTCATGCTTTTCTATTTATGTTATAAAACATGTAGAGTTTATAGTAAAATCCAAAACATTACTGTCAAGTGTGAAGGAATTTCCAAATCCACACAAATGACCTTCTGAAAAGGGTTCTCACATGAGAACATGGACACTGCCAAATAATCCACAGTTCCGAGTGTCCCCCACAAATGCTGACCTGTCCTACAGGTCTCCACATGATCATTTTAAATGAAGTGAACTTTCTATCACATGCTAGAAAACTCTCAAAAATTATGATTCTTAGGGTTGTCAGTTGTCAGAATAGGGTAAAAGGAGGATGGAGGGTGAATATTTGTCTGACCTCTGCCTCCTGGCAATGAGATGGTGAAGAGTTGGATTTTTCTTCTCCCTTATGCAGCAAAAGGAGGTAAGTATGGTTGCCATGCCATTTAATCAGTTGGTGTCAGAATAGGTAGAAAAAGATGGAGGGTGGAGACATGTCTGACCTCTGCCTCATAGCAAAAGGCCTTGGGGTTAGTGTGGAGTTGGATTCTCCATCTCCTTTGTGTAACAAGAAGTAGTAAGATATGGGCTCTCTGTCTTTTTCTCAGTACAATACCACCATTCTGACAAGGTTGTATGAGCATTAGAAAACATGCAATATGCAATGGTCTAAGAAAATGTGGGGCTAAATATGCCGTCACTACTATCAACCTGGAGTCCTTGAATAATGCCAACAGTTAAGTGCTCAACCACTAGCTGATAGGTTGGCAGTTCAAACCCACCCAGATATACCTCAGAAGATAGGCCTGACAACAACCTGCTTCTAAAAACTGACACCTTGAAAACCATATGCAGTTTCACTCTGCACAAGCACACATGGGGTCATCAGGAGCTAGAACAAACTTGACAACTAACAATAATTACCAGCCTAATACTTTCATATTCTGGTAATTTTGTAAAATTTAGATAGAGGATCATAAAACTAAATATGATTTCCAGTATTTATTTTACTGGTTTTGATACTTTTAGAACTTAAAAATTTGAATCTAGATAGTTAAAATAAGAAACTCAACTATTTCTTTGCTTCACTATAAACCACGACTTTTAATCTTCTTAAAAAAAAACTCATACTACTGGAGTTATTCCCCCAATGGAGAAAATTACCTTTTATCCTCTGCTTTGGGTGTTCTTGGAAAATGATCTGTAATTTTAGAGTCTTTTTTTCCATGTTGCTTGGAATTTCTGCATTCTACATTCAGACTGGGAGTACTTCCAGGTAGCTTGGCATTTAAATCATTTATTCCAGGACGAGTCTCTCCACCTTCAAAATGGAAATGTAGTCTTATATCCCCTCCCTTAGAAGAGTGCCGCTTCCTCGTTTCAATGTCAGTTTCTCTTGCTTGAACCCGTGAAGGTTTATTTGCTGTTTGGGAGGAAGAGCCATCTTCCTGTTCATCAAAACCTGGGCTTGTCTCTTCATCGCCTTCTGAGTTCTGACAACTATTTTTGGAAGTATCTACATCCATTGGTGACTCAGGTTCGCTGTCTTTCTCAAGTGGAGAATTTCCTAGGCTACTTTCTTGTCGATTCATCTTGTTGATATTTCTAGATCCAGTCCTCACGTCCCGCAAACCAACATCCGACAACACACTCTCTGGCACATCTAGCTCATCTTGCTGACAGCTTGCACCATCTTCCACAGCAGGACCTGACTTACTGAACTGCTGACTGCTTCTGGTGTCTTTGGCCAGTTCGTCTTCTGTAGCCTGCTTTATCTGGGCAAACTTGACAGGTATCAAAAATGGTTGATTTTCTCTGTTTTCTTCATTATCTGTGTCACTGTGGTCATCATTTTGAGGTGACTGATCAACATTAGCATTACCAAGCTGCTTTGGAACCCTATCTACTGCTGGAGGTTCACTTTCCAAAAGATGCTCCACGTGTTTCCCTTCATTTTGCCACTTACACATAGTTGCAGTCCGATGTTGGTCCAAATATTGTGTATTTTCAACAGGTGATTTAGCAAAATTTAACTGAGAAACATTTTCTAAACTTTCCATGTTATGTTGGCAAAAGTTATCTTTTTGTACAGAATTCATCATGGAGTCTACTCTCGTATTGTTGTTTTCTTTACTATGCAAGCTATGAGAACAAAAAAAAATTAAAGACAAGTGGTACAGAAAAAAAATCACTGGCCCAACATCACTCCCACAATGTCCCAGCAATAAATGAACTGCATTTAGTTACCTAAAGCATACCTCATGCCCGTTCACGGCTCCATGCCTTTGCACGTAATGCTATATATAATGCCCTCCTCCCCATTCATGGCTCCATGCCTTTGCACTTGATGCTATATATAATGCCCTCCTCTCAACTGTGAGCCTGGCAAACATCTGTGCTTTAAGCTGATATTTTCTTCTTATGCTAACTACCATTGCACCTGTTCTTATCTTTACTGTTACACATATTATACTATCCAACAATCAAATGTTTTGGGGTCATTTACCACCACTACACAATAATTATCTTGCAAGCACAGACTCTTACATCTCTGTATTTCAAGGACATTGGTGAGTGCTTGGCACATATAACATTTTTAAAATTAATTACAAATTGAAGAATGAATGAGTGTAGATGAAAAACATGGGAAAGAATGAGATAATTGCACGATACCATAAAAACACTCATGTACAACATTATTCATTTCTCTATGTGGGCATGTTTTTATACCTTTCTGATTCAGAAGTCTTGATTCCTTTAGTGTCCATCCAACTGGTAATAGTCTTTTGTTTGGAAACTGTAATAAAATAAAATAAGTTTTATCTGGTATGTCTATCCTTCCAATAAGAACTGTCTATAGTATATTATATATGCAAGGTATTGTGCTGAGCTCTATTGATTAAATACAGACTGACCACACTCCCAAGCAATAGGAAACAAGAAAAAACAAAGACACAAGTACATGTGGCACAGGGTGGAAAGTGTCTGGCCCCTAAATAATTGGTATGGTCTGAGGGAGAGCAGGCAGCCTCTGCAATGAAGCCACTGGATTTCAAATCCTGGTTCTCCCACTGGCTCCCATCCTGTGGGAGGTCATTTCTGTACTAAGATTCCTCATGTAAAGAAAGCAAATTAATACCTGCCATGGGGTTGTGAAGTTTAAATTATTGATGGAAAGTGTTTAGGATACTATCTAGTATTGGCAAGGCGCACAGTAAATTATCAGTACTATTAAAAGAAGTCCTGATAAAACATTAGGGTATTTCTAAGGGAAAGAATTTCTGTGTTCTCTGAGAGAACAAGAGTGAGGATAATTAGTTAGTTTTCCTAGAAATGGTGGTGCATGAATTTTCCCTTGAAAAATAAGCATGTAGTTAGTTAGGGGAAAAAACATAACCAAAAGCACCAATGGCAGGAAAACAAAATAATTCCAAATGAAAGCAACAGAAAATATAGTTAAAAATCAAGTAGCACCATAAGGCAGAGGTCTCTGCAAAATGAGATTTAAGAAAGTGTTAGAATCATAATTCCAGAATTGAGATCTAGAAGTCTCATGTCCTGTTTAAGATGGATAACTTAGGTCTTTTTTAAGGTTTTTTTTTCTTCTGCTTGTTCTTTGGGTTTTGAGGGGTCTACTGTAGGGGTCAAATAACAAGCTATTTCCTTTGTACTGTGCATTTTCTTTTTTCAAAATCACTTTATTATGGGCTCATACAACTCTTATCACAATTCATACATACATCAATTGTGTAAAGCACATTTGTACATTCGTTGCCCTCATAATTCTCAAAACATTTGCTCTCCACTTAAGCCCCTGGCATCAGCTCCCCAATTTCTCCCCCTCCCTCCCTGTCCCCCCTCCTTCATGAGCCCTTGATAACTTATAAATTATTATTTTGTCATATCTTGCACTGCCCGACGTCTCCCTTCACCCACTTTTCTGTTGTCCGTCCCGCAGGGAGGAGGTTATATGTAAATCCTTGTAATTAGCTCCCCCTTTCCACCCCACCCTCCCTCTACCCTCCTGGTATCGCCACTCTCACCACTGGTCTTGAAGGGATCATCCACCCTGGATTCTGTTTCCAGTTTCTATCTGCACCAGTGTACATCCATAAATTCTCTGGTCTAGCCAGATTTGTAAGGTAGAATTGGGAT